AAAAAAAAAAAAAAAAAAAGCTTTACTTCATTAATTTATACAGATAATTGTCTCACATCTCTTAAACCACTTGTTAGAAATACATACGGTCTTGATGTAAAAACAAAATGTTTCTCTTCTCTATGCATTCACACAAAACTGAAAAATAAAAGGGTAGCATATTCACTTTTAATGGTGTACACAGACCACCCAGCTTGCCTGACTGCTGGGCAGGGCAGATTCTATTGCTCCAAAGCAGGGAAAGAAGAGGAAGGCAATTAATATATGTCTTTTATCCTATTAAAAAAGAGAAGGGCTGGGCACAGTGGCTTACACCTATAATTCTAGCCTATGGAACACAGATGGAAGAATCACTTGAAGTAAGAGGTTCAGACCAGACTGGGCAAGACTGAAATCTCACCTCTATCACAAAAAAAAAAAAAAGAAAGAAAGAAAGAAAGAAAGAAAAAGAAAAGAAAAATTAGCTGGACGTAGTGGTTCATGCCTGTAGTCCCAGCTACTCAGGAGGCTGAGGCAAGAGGATTGCTTGAGTCCAGGAGTTTGAAATTGCAGTGAGCTATGATGATGATACCACAAAAAACCAAAAGACAGAAAAGCACTGCAACAAAATGAACTCCACCTACATTCATCAACATGGATTAATCTCAAACAGAAGCAAAAAAACAAGTCAGAAGATATACATGTTTCTGCACACATAAAGGTCAAAGACTGGCAAAACTAAATTTAACATTTAGAAATGCCTACTTGTATGATAAGCTACATAGAAAAGCTTAGGAAGCTTCAAACAAAATCCAAAACAGTGTTTATTTCTGGCTGGTAAGTAGGAGGACTTAATTGGGCAAATGCAAACTGATAAAGTTTACTAGTAACTGGTAAAGTTTCATTTCTTGAGCTGAATGAGAGGCTGCATGGACTCATTTCTCTTGAAACTGTGTCAGCTACATATGCTCTTCTCTGTGCATTAAATGTTTCATAAAAAATTTTAAGTGACTCAAAATTATGCAAAAGCTATTTTAAATCATCTTCTTGGCCTGGCACAGAGGCTCACACCTGTAATCCCAATACATCAGAAGGCCAAAGCAGAAGAATCACTTGAGGCTAGGAGTTCAAAGATACAGTGAGCTATGATCTGGCCACTGCACTCCACCCTGGGTGACAGAGCAAGACCTTATCTGTTAAAAAAAAAAATTATCCGGCTCCGCGCCTGTGGCTCAATCGGCTAAGGCGCCAGCCACATACACCTAAGGTGGAGGATTCGAATCCCCAGCCCAGGCCCACCAAACAACAATGATGGCTGCAACCAAAAAATGGCCGGCGCTGTAGCGGGCGCCTATAGTCCCAGCTACTTGGGAGGCTGAGGCAGGAGACTCGCTTGAGCCCAGGAGTTGGAGGTTGCTGTGAGCTGTGAGGCCATGGCACTCTACCCAGGGGGATAGCTTGAGGCTCTGTCTTAAAAAAAAAAAAAAAAATTATCCCATTGTTCATCTCCCTGTTTTAAAAAAAAAAAAGTAGTCTTTTACCTGTAATAATTACATTAGCATCTGGTACTATAAAGGCTGTTCTTTTTTTAAATTGCTATTACATTAAAGACATTCAAGTGTATCCTACCCTATATAATACTTGCTTTCCAAATCAATGCTAACATGCAAAAGACTTTAAGGCAGAAATACAAAATAGACTTTATTGACTTGCACCAATACAACCACAACTTTTTTATATACCAACTGACATGCACCTGCATCTGTTTAATGAAATCCTTTCAACTAGTATGACAGCAAAATTAAGACAATCATATTAACTGTTAAGTAAACACTGAGTGAGGCTAACATTTAATTAGGGTATGTCAGATTTCAATCTTAAATTACCACATGGAGGCTCGAAGCAATCTTTTTTGCTCAAAACAACTGCAGAACTAAGTTGGAGGCTCCAGCTGAAACCATGACAACTCAAACTCTGTGGCTTTGGATAAATGACTATTACTACACACTTATAAAAATTAAATTTTTTCCCCAACTTCTGCAGCGCCATTTGAAGAGATTTTTAAGTGAACTCATGCTGGAAAATCTCTACCAAGGTCCTCAGCTTCGGGCCATACAATGGCACATTCAGAAATATGCCCAAATCTCCATAGGTTACCTTTCAGACCTCCAGATCCCCTCCACACTCCTGGGGTGTGGAGAGTAATGGTGGAAAGACTGCTAGGGGATTAAGAAAATTGTATTAATTGTATGACCAAAAGCTAAAGCTAAAGTCAGCTCACAAGTAATTCTGTCTAACCCCTCATTTTGTGCTTAGGGAAAGTATGCCCCAGAAGCAGGAGCACTAGCTGGAGGCCTAACAACTACTTAAGCTTGTCTCCCCTGGTCCTGCCCAGTGGTCCTACTCCCTCACCAATCCCTAAATGCTTCTATTCGCCGCTAACACAGTGGTGAGAAAACCGACATCTCTACAGTGTGGCCAGGTTGTCAGGACCAAAAAGCGTCGTGAAAGTAATCAAGTTAACCTCGTCTTACAGCTGGGAAACAAGCTGTAAAGTGATGCAGCTAGGAGGTGTGAGGGTAAATCGACCCTCTGCCACCGAGTGGCGAAAGCCTGAATAAAGTGAAGCTGACAACCTCCTCCTGGTCTCAGGAGGGCTGATGTCAACCGGCCCACTCCAATTTACTTGGCAAAATCCTCACGCCTCTCACGCAAAAGCAGGAAATGGGGAAGGGAAGTAAAAGGTGACAGCCGGTGCGCAGCACAGAGAACGCCGCGGCCGCAGCTGGCCCCGAACTCCCTCCTAACTATTTGACTCAGTCGGCGGAGAGAGGGGAAGAGGGGAAACAGTAAGGCGGAGGCGCCTCCCGCGAGAACAGGTACCTGAGGCTCTCACTGCAGTCTCCCGCGGCGCCGGCCCCGGACCTACGCCGCACTTCCGGGGTCAAGTGGCAGCTGGGCGGCCTGCGACAGCCCGAGGGCAACCCAAGGTTCCGCCCCCATCCATGCCCTGCCGCCACCGCCCGCGGCGCGTAGAACCCGGCTACATCCGGGACGCTGCGAGTCACTAAGCAGCCACTCTCCACTTCCGGGCCCCTCCCTTTTCCCTTCTCCACCCCTTTCGCGGACAGAGGGCGTGTCACCGAGGTTTCCGTGCATTTGATTGGCAAGGCTGGGAGCGCTAGTCTTCGCTGATTGGTGTAGGGAAAAATCTGCCCCACGGGCGCCCACGCGGCGCACAGTTTCGTTCCTGCGTCTGTTTCCCGCCTGCATAGGTTTTGCTGCCGCGATCATGGCGGACTTAACGGATTTGCCCAAGTCGCGAATCAACGCCAGCATGCTCGCTGAGTTCATCGACCAGCCAGTCTGCTTCTTAGGGAGGCTAGAAAAGGTGTGCTGAACTCGCCCGGAGGGAGGAACCCTGTGATCGCCAGGGTGGCTTACTCAGAGTGGGGGACGGGATCGGGGACGAGGGAAGACAGAAAGCCTCCGAGCGTTGCTGCGCTCCCGATTGTTTTATTTGGCACAGATTTTTTTTTTCTGCATACTCTTTAGCCATTGCAACCCTATTTTGGTGATTCCGTTATCGTGCAGAAACGAGGTCTTTTTAAACGTGCTAAATTCTAGTGCTTCACGCCCCCGTCTTTGTTTACATAAAAGAAATTATGGGTGTGAGTGCCACATTGTAGCTTAGACTTTGCTAACACCAACTAAACTAATCTGTTTATTTCCTTCTCTGTTGTAGTTGTTCTCTTTTTTAATTTTTCTTATTTCCTTGTTTTGTTTTGTTTTTTTGAGTTGTTGTTGAGACAGAGTTCTATTCTATGCCCTGAGCAGAGTGCATTGGCGTCATACCTCACTGCAACCTCAGACTGGGCTGGGCATCCCGCAGCGGCAGCTGGGGTTTGTTTGTTTGTTTGTTTGTTTGTTTGTTTGTTTTATGAGTCGGGGTCTCATTCTCGCTCAGGCAAGTCTCTCGTGAGCTCAAGCAGTTCTCCTCAGCCTCCCACGGTCCCGGGATTACAGGCGTGAGCCACCGCGCCCAGCTCTGTAGTTGTTCTGTTCCCAAACCTCGTTTTCTTGAAGTTGCTTCTCCATAAAACGTTCCTTGACTGTCCATTTTAGATGCCTTAACAGCCTGTTACTTTACTGTATTGTTAAAATGTAGCCCCTTTGTCCTACAAGTTAGAAAAAACTGAGGGAAAGAAAACTACTATACAAAGGCTTATTTAGTAGCATGTTTCATCCGCAGATCCACGTGGTGAAATGAGTATGATTCAGAATTTATAGGTAGGAAAACTGAGTGGGAATAAAGAGTGGTTGTTAAATGCTCTAGGACACTGTTGGTGGCAAAGCTGTCATGCGAACAAGATGTGTGCACCTCTCCTGCCCTCCAGGGATATAATCCAGATGTCTGGCAACCAGTTCTCCTTTTACTTCATCATAACGAATTTTTAAAATATACCCTTAGTAGGATATATATCTAAATCACAAGTGCTAGCAGATCTCACTTTTAGGTAGTTGTGGGCTTTCTTTAATTTGTTCTTAGACTAGCATCGACACATTTCTCAGATAAAAACCCAAGACCTACTTATACTGAAAAAGTTATTCGTTGCTTATCTGAAATTGAAAACTAGTGTACCATTACCTTATCTGGTAACTTTAAGATTTTAATTTGAACCGAATAAACTGTTCAAAATAAATTACTTTCTGCTCAACTAAGTAAGTTAGGGTCAATGTACTACCTATTGTTCTTTTTTTTAATTTTTTTTAATTATATCTGTGTACATTAATGCAGTCATGGGGTACAGTGTGTACTATCTATTGTTAAACCTTTCTTTAATGAGATTTTAAAGATTTTGGGAGGGTGGCACTGTGGCTCAGTGGGTAGGGCACCGGCCCCATATACCAAGGGTGGTGGATTCAAACCTTGCCCTGTATACCCAGGGTGGTGGGTTCAAACCTGGCCCCAGCCAAACTGCAATAAAAAAAATAGCTGGGCGTTGTGGTGGGTGTCAGTAGTCCCAGCTACTCGGGAGGCTGAGGCAAGAGAATTGCTTAAGCCCAGGAGTCGGAGGTTGCTGTGAGCTGTGTGACGCCATAGCACTCTACCGAGGGTGATAAACCAAGACTCTATCTCTACAAAAAAAATAAAATAAAGATTTTGTTTATGTGGGTTTTTAAAAATTATTATGTTTCCTTTTTAGATTCATCCCTCTGGAAAAATGTTCATTCTTTCAGATGGAGAAGGGAAAAATGGAACCATTGAGTTGATGGAGCCCGTATGTTTAAGTATTAATTCTGTGTATCTTACTAGTTAATTTTTCATCTTTGTTTGATTTGTTGCTTATGTTTCTGGTTTCTGGAGTAGATATATAAGGGATGAGCTTAAAAACTTCCTTGGCTCTGAAATCAAATTCTTTCATCCTCATTTTATTTTCCTTTGCATTTCTAACCAATGATCCTTTGGGTGCCATGATTTTTTAATATATCTTTTGAAATGGTAGATAATAATTATTAATTACTTATGGAAGATCATAAAATCACATAAGAAAAGTCTTTCAATTGTTTCTTCCTCAAGAGTCCTACATTTCTTAATTTTTTTTGTAATAAATATACATAATTGGGCGGAGCCTGTGGCTCAAAGGAGTAAGGCACCGGCCCCATATGCCGGAGGTGGTAAGTTCAAACCCAGCCCTGGCCAAAAACTGAAAAAAAAAAAAAAATATATATATATATATACATACATAATTTCAGTTTCTACTTATTTTTGTATTTTATGTTTAATATACTTGAAACATTTTCTTGGTCTTTTATGAAGCTGAATTCATATGCTCTTTGGTTAATTTATACAAAACACAATTTTTGAAATACAGATTATAGAAGGTTCCTCTCAATAGTTCCTTTTAAACCAATTACTGCTTGTAGAAATGTCGGACACCTTTAGTATCTTTAAGTAGTTTTGTCTTCACCTTAAATGTTTAAGTACATTTGAACGTGAAGGTACCCTAGCAGTAAGTGCTGACAGTTAAATACACAAACCTATTTTGCAAGTGATTTTTTTTTTGGAGACAGACTCTCACTGTGTCATCCTGGGTAGAGTGCCAGGAAGTCATAGCTCACAGCAACCTCAAACGCTGCGGCATTGAGCAATCCTCTTGCCTTAGCCTTCTGAGCAGCTGGGACTACAGATGCCTGCCACAATGCCTGGCTACTTTTTCTATTTTTAGTAGACATGGGGTCTTGCCATTGCTCAGGCTGGTCTCAATCTTGTGAACTCAAGAAGTCCACTCACCTTGGCCTCTGGAGTGCTAGAATTATAGGCATGAGCCACCGTGCCTGGCCTTTACAAGTGATTTTGATATAGGACAAGTGGCATCCCAGCCAGCTCATGGAGCTGGGGGGCACAGACTGGCTACCTCCACCTTGGCAATGTTGGTGCGGTGGTAGCAAGCAGAAGAACCAGCAGGCTGGAGAGTCCCCATTTCCTAGGCCTAGGACTAAAAGGGATTGTAGCCATTAATTTGCAACCCAGAGAAATGTCCCAGACATGCTAAATGTAACATGTTGTTCCAGACATGTCCCAGATAGACATCACAGACAGGCTAACTGTAACTACCTTAATTGTAACTACTTAGCCCCGCTAAATGTAACTACTGAGGGCCCCATGCGACTATTTATACCCCTAGACAAAGAGCTGACAGAAAGAAAGAGAGAGCACTTTTCTCTCCTGACTCGTTTTCTCTCTGCCAGGAGCTCTGGCACTTCTGTATTCTTATCTGTAAATAAATCCTGTCTTACCACTGATCTGTGGTCAATGGATTCATTCTTTGAATCACCAAGACCAGGAACCTACTGAAGAGCAAAATTCCAGTATCAATTTCTTAAACTCTGAATTGGTAAATTTTAAAATTACTTTGTTATATGAAGTGAAAGAATAGTAAACTGTATTTGAGTTTTCCAAATTAATTATCAAACTGTGATAACATCAAAATTACACTGTGCTCTGTCTTAGCTTGATGAAGAAATCTCTGGAATTGTGGAAGTGGTTGGAAGAGTAACAGCCAAGGCAACCATTATGTGTTCATCTTATATCCACTTTAAAGAAGATGTCTCTCCTTTTGGTAAGTAAAGCGTTTTAGTATTTAGTGGTTTTATGTAATGAGAAGGTAAACGCCTTTATTCTTAAACTCATATGTGTTGGTCTCAAGTCCCAGTTCTGCCATATTTTTTATTTTTATATAATTTTCTGATCCCAAAGGAAAATGGGAGTTCATGTTGGCCTGCTTCTGAGGAGTGCTTGTATATTTAAGATATTTGGTAAAGATTAATCAATATTTGTGGATAGAGAAAATTTTAAAATATGGCAAGCAAAATTAATATTACTTGTTTTGTTTTGTTAATAAATGAATTGAAGGCATGGAACAATGCATAGCACCTAAAACATGACCAAGTAGAAACTGTGCCTATGTAATAGACATCAAAATGGTTTCCTGTCTCCCATATTGTTTCTTTGGAGCCACAGTTAAATAAATATGATACATATCTCAGTTTTAGAAATTAGATTGTGGCCTCGGCATGTATAGCTCAGCAGATAGGGTGTCAACCACATACACCAGAGCTGGTGGGTTTGAACCCGGCCCAGGCCTGCCAAACAACAATGACAACTACAACCAAAAAATAGCCAGGCATTGTGGCAGGTGCCTGTAGTCCCAGCTACTTGGGAGGCTGAGGCAAGA